TTAAAGTAATTTGTATTTATACCCCTGCAGGGTATTATAATTTTAGTCAGAAGTGAAGAAGGCACCTCCGACCATATAAGGAATATATATTCTTGATCAGGACCAACAGCCGAGTCGATCTAGCCATGTCCGTCTGTCCGTCTGTCCTTCTGTCCGTCTGTCCGTTTCTACGCAAACTAGTCTCTCAGTTTTGAAGCTATCTGAATGAAACTTTGTAGTTAGTCTTCTATATACTCTCACTCGTATATATGTCGGAACGAGCCGGATCGGACGACTATATCATATAGCTGCCATAGGAATGATCGGAAATTTTTTACAAAAAAAAATATAACATTTTCAGTTTCCAACAGAATTTGATTAAATTCTATTATAATTTTATCTATATTACTCTACAATTTTGTGTAAAATTTTATGAAAATCGGACTACTATATCATATAGCCGCCATAGAAACAATCGAGAAATTAATACAATTAAAATTTATAACATTTTTAGTTTTCAAAAGATTTTCATCAAATTTAAGATATAGCCATTTCATATTATTCTACAATATTGTGTTAAATTTTATGAAAATCGGAAGACTATATCACATAGGTGCCATACAAACGATCGTTAAATGTGGAGGAAAAATGCAAATCTGTGAATGTAAAACTGCAAATAAAATATGTATAGGTGAATGAAATGAAAGCAGGTATTACTTCATTGTTTTTTAACACAAATATATATAATTTATATTGTATCGAAGTTCTTTCTGCAAGGGTATATAAACTTAGCTTCCTTTCTTGTTTATTATAATATTTATTCCTTTAATTATAAACCCTATATAATTTTCCCTCTGTGCATGAAGAGATCGTGGCCACATGCCCGAGTGACCACCATCGTTGCTGCTGGCTCCGCTCCACACACAACACACACAACACACACATTGCACCAAACACACCACTGGGCCCCTAGAAACTAAGCCCCGCCAGCGGAGATTCAGTTGGGTGGCTATCATGAAGTGAAGGAATGCGCCATGAAGGCGAAGAGGCGAACCATAACCAATATGGCTATATGTCTATGGCTAAACTATGGCTGTAACTACGGCAACCGAAAAACCTTTTAAATTTTAATGATTGCCCAAAGGAAGTAATATTTGCCAAGCTATTTTGCGTTTATTACGCACATTAATGTGTGCCAGATAAGAAGAAAAAGTTTAATTTGCTTACGTTTTTTACTTTCACAAAAAAATGCTTGCTTACTTAAATGCTTACGTACTGATATATGCGTCATTTGGGAAAAATTAAACATATGTTTTATAAGGCAGAAGGGAAAGAACTTTTGGGGATTTTTTTCACATTTTTATTTGAGATTTCCTTTCCTATATTAAATATTTGATTATGGGATATCATCATCAACTAAATGTATCTTTATTATATTTGTAATTCAATTTAACACTTCTAAAATCTATTTTTAGCAATATTAAAATACTTGAAGTATTCCCCATTTATTGTTATTATTATTATTTTTCTCAGAGATTTTCCTAGGCTTTCTTATTGTTTGCTACAACTCTTAAAAATAGAATTTAATCAAATATTAATATGTTGATTATTCTAATAAACACGAGCAGTTGTGTAGATCTGTTTTATCTGCTAATATAAACACTTTAGAGAAAAGGAGAACACAATTGGCTCATTTCATAAACGTTTTTACCTTCACCTACAGATACAGATACAAATGCAGATACAGATACACAGATACAATCCAGGCGAGAGATACAACTTATATATAATTATATAATAATATATATAACTTTGTGTGTTTGGGTTTTAGTTTTTTTTTTATTTGATTGTTTGTTTGTTGTTTTCCTTCCCTTTGTTACCAGTATTATTTTCTCGTAATTTATTAGTCTAAGTGTTTTGTTTCTTGTTTTCATTTGTCCTCTTCAATTTTCACTTGTTTTTGCTGTTTTCATGTGGAGCAGCAATGATTTGAGTTAGAATTTGATTTGATTCTTCGTTTTTTCTTCGAATTCAAATTCCTTGCTCGGTGTGTTTTCACTATCGATCGTTGATGACAGTCGATGACAGTGGCCTATTGATGACATGCGGTACTGCAGGGTACACGGACACAGAGGCACAGATCCAGGTCGTGTTCGGGTTCTAATTATACGATTGCTATAGGTGCGCTGAGCCAGCCGTGAAACGTGCGGGGTCTGACCTTCTCACAGAGCCTGGTATCGAGTATATATACGTACGTATATCTCCCATTTGAAGTGCATTCGTATCTGTATCTGAACGGACTCCACTTCTTTATACTCGCAGGGGATTATTAAGTTTTCAGCGGCGCAGAAAAAGGCTTCTGTGGTAGCAGCTGCGATTAACTTGAATTCGAACGTACTTAATTATTCGGGGGCCAGGCCGAGACCGGGCTTGGGCGGGCCGGGACACTTGGCCTAATGCTTTTGGCCACAGCTAGAGCCACAGCCCAGACCAGACCAGCCCAGCCCAGCCCAATGGCCAGCGGCCAAGTTATAACTCAAAACCAGGCAACCTATTGGCCTTAATCTCGATGACTAAGCCAAGTCCATCTCTCTTATTTGTTGCAAGCCCACTTTTAATTGTTAGCCTATTAGGCGAGAATAGTATTAAATTGTATTACGGGGAGAACACCTTCAAGCTTAAGCACATTCATATCGCATTGATCAGAAAACCCAATCATTTACGGGGTTATAATTAACAAGAAATTAATAATGATTTTAGAGAGCAACCCCCATACTTTTCTTGACTTGATTATACATATATTTTATAAAAGCTGTTTCCTTCTAACTATTTAATTGCTGAACCATCAAATGTTGATACAATGTGGAATAAGAAATTGATTTATTAAGAGTACTTAATAGTTTTTTTAAATATTCTCGAAGCTGAAGCCTAGCTTATTTATATTTTTTTTGTGCCCAAAATATTTAATTGTTGACTCCTCAAATATTGATACAATGTTGAAAAATAAATTGATTTATTAGTTGATTTTCCAAGAGTATTCAATATTTTTTTTATACATCCTCTAAGCATGAAGCCTTGCTTATTCATATTTCTGGCCAAAGTATTTTGCTTCCCATTTCATTCAAAAAAACTATTATTATTAGCTTGAAACTTCCCACCTTCTACAATTCCCCAATAAATTGCTTTCTCATTCGATCCATCTTTACCCATGTCACCCATTTGGCGTTCCCTGCGCGACAACAAGAAAAAACCCCGAAATCTGATATATTTGTCTAACATCTTCGGCATTAAGCTCAAGTCGCAAGATTTCCGCATTTGAAACGATTTTTTAATTATTATTTTCAAACGCCTACGCGCCCAACTCGATGGCTTCGAGTGGATGCTCTGCTCAAATGTCAGGCTTATTAATTCAACAGAGAGATCTCTTCGACTTGGAGCTCAAGTGCCGGGGATTTGTGGTTTCCGAGGCGGAGGATTGAGGCTTCGAACCTCCGCATCGAGATTGAGATGAAAATGGAGAGCTGAGAGATGTGTGTGTGTTTGTTGTGCATCTTTATGTGGGTGTGCGGGCCCCATTGATGACACGTCATTTGCTGGCATAGACATCTTCGTCAAATGTGTTAAATGTGCGCTAAGAGGGAAAAAACAGGTCTTCCAGTTCAACGGCTAAAGTGTCAGTAAAATGTCATGGAAAGCCACTTAGATATGTGAGTAATATGCACAAATATGGAACATAAATTGAGGAGATGTATAAATATGTCAAAGTGATGATGGAAAATTGAGTTATCGGTGGGGAAAATATAAATAAATTTGATTTTTAAAGTCCAATCAAGGAGAATTTCGAAGAAGCATATGTTATTTATATTGTAATGTAATTATCGAGTTTTTTGAAGGAAATTATGTGAAGATATTACTTATAAATTTTAAGAGATAGTTAAATAATCGGAATATATTTATTTTGCAATTTTATACATCGATCCACTCTTAACTTTGATGTTTAAATCAACTAATAAACCAGGGGTTAGGCTTTTATTTATAAATGAATTTAAAAAAGCCCAAAGTGTTACCTGAAGGAAGAATATTTTTAATAATCGATAAATAGCAGTCAAAATCGATAAACGAATGTGCCATCCCTAACCTGGGAATTTGTTTTTTTTCTCAAATACTCATGTTTTCCGAGTCAGATTCACAGCCTCACCCAAACCAAACCACAAAACACTGCCCATATCCGCTAACAAAAATATTATAGAAAAAACAGAATCGAAATCGAAATCGAAAAAAAAATTGTGGAAGCAGCCGGCAATCAGACATTTGTCAATTTTCCTGCTTCTAGCTTTGGTATTTTTGGTATATTATTGGCTTTCGGTGCGATTGGTTCTTGCTCGCGGGCAATGCTCAATTATGGCTTTGATTTAAATCAGTCTACTGACCCCAAAAGTTCAGCTACGGAAATTGCAAATTTAATAATTGACTGGCTCTCGTCGGCCCAAAATCGAAACAGTAACAGAAAACTGTAAACATAAAACCAAAGGGGCTTATTAATGCGATAACCTTGGCTGATTTAATTTCTGCCGGTGCTGCTGCCGCTGCTGCTGGCCGGGGCCTGTGATTATCCGACTTCCATGACAACAATAACAATAACAATAAGCAAAAAGGAAAAACCAAAGACCAAACTTGCACAATTTCGACACTAAACGACGTTGTCTGTGGGGCCACTCTTCGGCTGTAGTGCCTTCGAGCTGCCAGTTAGTCGCATATTTAATTAAGAGATTGAGTAGCGCAAATAGTGTTGAACAATGGCCAGCACGAGTCGCATCCTACACTGGGAGAAATTGTTGACGAGATGAAATAGCGTCTTTGGGGGGTTTCGAGGTATCTGTGAAGGTTTCAGGCAATCATTTTCTTAGCTTTGAGACAATATTTTGTCCAAGAAAGTTTGGGAAATCTCTGTCAAGAGGTTGTATATCCCAGGATTTTGGTATAAAGAACAGGAAATTAAAATTTCTATGAGTTAAAGATAAGTTATTTACTTTTGAACTGATGTATCACTCTACCTTTTAACCAAACATCAAATTTTGCTCTTAAAACCTTTAAAACATTTAACTATATGTATACAATTAACCCACAAAAATGTCCCTAGAGCTCGTAGCTAATCCTCCACCCTTGAAGATCTATCTTCTGACCTATGAAATGGACATTCCCAAGGACTCTGGCGATGGGGGACTGTTGCCCCTGGTTTTCCTCAAGGCTCAGCAGCTCAAGATTTGCGGCTTTATTGCGCATACGCACAGTGGCCTCAAGGTGGGCGGTGAACTGGAGGGCAATGAGGGGGCTCTCCATCAAATGGTCGAGTGGCTGGTGGCCAAGGCCCAGGGCAAAGACCAGACGGAGGAGGTGGCTGAGCCGGAGGAGAAGATGAAGGAAGTCAAGAGCCAGATGACGACGATGCCACGATTCTCCAAGTGGAAGCTGCAATCACGGGCCAAATACGATGATTTCTTTCAATGCTGATGATGATGCTGCTGCTGAGTTGATTAAAAATCGCAAATTGCAATGGCTCTAGAATATTGTTTCGAGTGCATTTTCATCTCGTAAACCATAACAATCAGTGTCGGCTGCTGTTGTTGCAGTTGCAGGGGCCATCGAACAATAGCTTCGTCTCGACTCTGACTCGACGCTGACTTTTCAAAGTCAAAAACGCGATTGTATCATCAGTTTTTTCAGTTTTTTCAGCTTTTTTTCGGGGCGCGCTCTCTGCCTCTGATTTTTCGCAGATAAGGTGGGGGGCCAAAGGGGGGTTGCCCCAGCTGGAGCGGCGAAAAACAATCGAATCAATTCATTTTTCTAGGGCGTACTGTGCCACTTGAACGTTGAACTGCAGACGCCCCAAACGCTGACTACCGCTGAGGAGCAGTTTCGATTTTCCTCTGGTTTTTCCATTGTCTCTGGCGGTCTTGATCGTGCCCCGGCACTAGTCATTTTTTAATTTTTCAAGATTTTCCAAGAGCTGCCGCTGCCGCTGCTGTGCTTCTGCGCATTTCGCAATCTGAACTCTATAAATCTCTCGTGCGCCGGTGTGTTAGATTTATGGGTTATGGGCCAAATGGGAGCGGGCCAAGCCAAATGTTCTATCCAAAAAAAATGTATAATGATCAAGAGAAAGAAAAATTATATGGAGGAGAGCGATCCAAAGCCATTCAATTAGATCTAAATGCTGTCAACATCCAGGAGGAGGAGGAGCAGGAGGCGGAGTGGAAATAAAACCAAGAGTGTCGTCTGGCCTGTGTCTGTGGCATAATGTTGCATAATATTTTATGCATGCAGAGAGACCTGGCAGATTGCAACATGTTGCTCCGTCCGACGACTAAGACGACGACGACGATGATGATGATGATGATGCATAGCCCCAAGAATCGCAGAGCACTGGCGCCCCTCCCAGAAAACTGCTGCGAGTATCCTATCCCCGGGAAAACCTTTTGCTCGCAAGACATCCAGCTGTGTGTGTGTGCCCGCGCGCTCAAAGTGTGTCGAATATTCAAGTGAAAATGTTTTTTCTTTCGGGCCCCAGAAAACCCGCTGCGATATAACGCAGAGTCCTCCAGAGTTTTCGCGAGTGCGGCGCTTCGATGACGTTGGATTTGAATTCGCTTTTGGAAACGAGCGTGTGTTGGGTGTCTCTGCCCATGCATGTCATGTTGAATACTGAGAGAAAATGGGGGTTATTCATTAGAATCTTAAATAACTTGATATAAAGAATGTCTAGAAAATTAATAATCTTGCTGAAAGTAAAATTTCGTACTGATTCACTTAGCTTAAGGTGGAAAAATAAATTGGAAAATATATAAATGCGTCTCTGTGACACTAAAATTCTCAACTGTTTTTAGTTGGGTAAAGGAAAAATATCTAATGATATATATAGGCTTCTTATAAGACTAGTTAAAAGATTTATAGTATATTAATACAGTTCTTGACTCCAAAACTAATGCTTATTGTTTATATGGAAAAATAAATTGGAAAATATATAAATGCGTCTCTGTGACTCTAAAATTCTCAACTGTTTTTAGTTGGGTAAAGGAAAAATATCTAATGATATATATCGGCTTTCTTATAAGAGTAGTAAGAAGATTTATAGTTCTAATTTGTATTAAAAATTTGAAAATCATCTTCAAAACACTTTCTGACTTCAAAAGTAATGCTTATTGTTTAAGCTTACAATGTTTAACCCATAAAATTATATCTAGATCAAATTTTCGGATATAAATTCCTTCAAATATTACCCCTAGAACTTTTCGCTTGGTTTCTTTTGACTGATTCTTACTCTGTACCTGCATCTCTCTTGGTCTAATATCGTACCTCGTATCTCTGGGGTCTCCATAGGTGGGTTGCTCAGAGTCTCGGCCCCGTCTCCCCGGCTCCATCACAGCATTTTCTGCTGTGTTATTTTTCCTCAACTTTTCTGCGCTTGGGTCTCTTGGTCTGGTATTTACTCGTATTTGATTAGACGGCAAAAGGCGACGGCGGCGTTGGCAAAAAAAAAAAAAAACAAATCCAAAAACTTGATCGCGTTGTTGTTGTTGTTGTCTGTGGATGTTGTTGTTGTTGTTGTTGTCTGTGGATGTTGTTGTTGTTGTTGTTGCTTTGGCTCTTTAAGTCGAACAATTACATTTTAAGCGTAGCACAACCTTGGATACCGTTATATTTTTGCAGTTGGTTGGGCGTGTGTTCAGCGAATTACCCAACAGACATTTGTGGTGCGAAAAGGATTCCAGCGGAAGCGAAATTTTGTGTGTTTGAAAGTTCTATAAATACATTAGAAAAATATTGAAATAATATATAATTTTTTTAGTAGTTAATGTATTTTTAAACGGGGTTAATTTTATTAGTTATACCATTAAACATCAAGGTATTATAATTTTAGTCAGGAGTTTGCATTTTCGACCATAGATACATATTATTATATAACTATTTTATATATTATATATTATTATATATTTTCTATATTTTTTTGATCAGCTTCAACAGCCATTTTAGTTATTAATATGCTTAAAATTTAGCAGAATACTTCTTTAAACATTTAATAATTTAATTTAATAAAACTCCTATAAAAATATCTCAAATATTTTCCCCAATTTATTTAAGATAGTTTAATCAGAATAATTTTATTCGGTATTGATTTGTTTTCCCAATTTTCTACACAGTTCTTCTTAATTTTATCAACAATCTTTTCGAATCATTTTGTTCATTGCCTAATTATGTTATTGAACTTTGGTTAATAATTTTTAATAAAAGTTGCTCAATATTTAATTATCCGGCATTTGGCAATTTTATTTCATAAAATTTCAATGGATTAAACTATAATTGGTGGCAATTTTCCACCAAAGACTACAAGTTTTAGGCAGTATAAATTTAATAAACTCAAGGGCAGAGCATTTTTTAATAAATATTATCAAGAAAAGTGTGAATATTTCGCAATAAATTGTACTTTTAGTTTGTCTGAATCTCCATCATATATCACTTAAGGTTTTATTTTCAATTTACATGAAATAATAGCTTGTTAAACAAATTCGCTACCCTCATCTCGTGGCTCATTTTCCGCCAACTTGAACAGCCAAAGAAGCCTGCACTTCTCCCCATTTTTGTGTTTTGTTTTTGTATTTTTTTTGTTTTTTGCATAGTTGAAGTTTGGCCAAAAAAGGGACCTCCGGGTAAACCTCTAGTCCCGTAAAATGTTGATTTGGTTATATGGGCCGCCGCCGCTTGCACCGCTGGGCTAAACACGACTCGGCAATCTGCAAACGTCGCAAAGCCTTCGACAGTCGACAGTCGCCCGATCGGCCAGTCAGTCTGCGATTCAGTCTGCGAAATTTCGGGCACAGAGCGGCCAAAGACTGTGGACCGTAGACTGTAGACCTGGCCAAAAGCGAGTCGACCACACCCGCACACTTCATTATTTTTATGTCGCCTGTGGTGGTACGATTTAAACGACAAACGCGGCAGCCGGCGAGCAGACGTTGGCGAATGGATCGCAAGACTTTTGGAGCTGGAGCCACGACACGACATTCGGAGAGAACACCCCAAACCCCCCGATTTAGCTAAAAAAAAAGGCAGAAAAAAAGCTCAAACGAGAAAGGAAGCTTGCTTGAGGTAGAAGCACTTTTAATACTCTTAAATATGTTAGAAAAATTAATTAGAAAATTTTATAACTATTATAGAAAGAGAAAAAGAACTGAAGAGGTATTTAAAAAATAGTATTATGGAGAATATTGTATGTACAAATATATATAACATAGGATAAAGTAGTACACTTTTAATAAAAGTTTACACAATTCCTAAATACATTTAAAAAAGACAGTATACCAAGTTTCAGACAAATAACGAGAGAAATGATGAAGTTTGTTATATTTAAACATGAAAAAATTATGGGATGCTTATGTCTAATTCCAATCAAACTCTACACCATCCTTAAAGACTCTTTAAAGATAAAGAATACCAAGTTTCAGGTAATTCGCTTGAGAAATAAGACAAATTTAAAACTTTCCTCAGAAAGTTGTCTGAAATTTAATCAAAAAATTGATAAAATATTTAATTTTTTTTCAATTATGTGCACTTTAAGAATATTCAATTTATATATCTTCTACAAAGTCTTTCTTAGCTTTGGTTTAAAAATTACCCAATAAATCTCCTAAAAACTTGATTCAATTTCCCATTTTCCTTACTAAAATGATATAAAAACCTTTTCTAAGGGCATTGGAAAAAGAGCCACAAGCAAAGTCAAGAAATTAGACGCATTCGACGTTTTGGAACGAGCGACAAGTCAAAGTAGCAAAAGACCAGGCACAAGCTATGAGCTATGTATACCTCTCTCCCTCCCAGCTCCTTAGCCCGTCTCTTTCTGCCCCGCTATGCCCCATCTCTCTCTGTTTCGTCTCCAGGCACGTTGCTCCTTTTCGAAGCCGGAGCACATCTCATGTTGATGTTACAATTGCTGCTTCGTTCATTGGATTTTCGGTTGGTTTTTTGTATTTTTTGTATTTTTGCGATCGTGCGCCAGTTCAAATGTGCCTAGTGGGTTTGGAAATTTGTAGCGCCCAAAAAAAAGAGAAAAAAAATAATAGCAACAACAGCAGCAGCAACGGCAACAACAATTACCCGCAATTACAACAATAGCAAGGCAACAACAATGAAGGCAGAAAGGAAACTTCGTTAGTGGCCAAAAGAAAAAAATAGAAGAGAAGAGATTCAACTTGGAGCCTCAAAAAGGCAGAGAGAGAAAATTAGTTAAAGATTTTTAAAGGAAAACCATATAAAAAAATATGGGAAAAATTATTTTAAGATGCTGCAAATACTTAATCATGAATTGCATTAATTTACAAGTATATATAAAGATGAAAGCAATGATTGGAATCAAGAAATATAATTTAAATACAAATTTAAAATAAGAAATGTAACTACAAAGTAAATTTTCTTCTTTTACTTAGCTTTCCCTAATTTTCTCTCAGTGAACCGTTGCTTACTTACAGACTGATCTTCAGCCAGGGGTACCTAAAGGTTCCCTACATTTCATA